AGGGCAAGGGCAAGCCTGCGCAGGAGCGGGTCTACTATGGTGACCGTGAGTGGTCCGGATCTTGGAGCTTTTCGTGGAAGTGGACCAACTCCCGGGGATGGTACTGGGAGTGGGATCCCTAGATCCTTCACAAAAGTGTGTGACTTCCATGCTAACGGGAACGTTAGCCGGAATGCTTTCTTTCTCATGTTGGTATGCGAAGTATGTGAATTTCATGTTCGTGACGCCAACGGGAACGTTAGCCGTCTTCATTCATTGAGGCTAATTGTTTCAATAGCGTTGCGAGCCGGAAGGTTTGCCGTGTCCATTTTGGCTGGCACGCCTAGTGCATTCATCTTGTCAATACTAATTCACGGCATATGGCAGTTTTGGCATCTTGTTTGCAGTGGTATAATGCTCCCGTGATGCTAGGTGGAAACCTGAGCCGTGTTTTTTGCCTTTTGCAGCAATCCGCTATGAGCGCAAAAAGAGCCGAACCTTACATGCAACTCTCTCCACCACAACCACGTATTCGTAGGTCCTGCATATTGTACATAGCATTGCAGCCCGTCCTGAGGTCTACGGTGGCTGCACTTCTGCCTCTTCGGTGCTGCCAGTGAACTGGCGGCGCCGCGGGGGGTATTTTTCACCACTGTGTACATATGTCATGACCTCATACGTGGATATTTGGTTCAAGGAAAAAGGTGTAGCTTATTGGCTGTTTCCTGTTTGAAATAGTGCCTATGTTTGGTGGTATTGTTGCGTCAGTGTGATGTATTGTTGTTTGTTGCTATGTGTGTCCATGTTTGTCCATGCACGGGGCAAGTGGAACATCTTGTCATCTTGACCAATCTTGGAACCATGGAATCTAAAGGCAGCCGTTGGACTGGTGCGGCTGGATCCAAAGGAACCTCTAGCAGCTAGCATGGGGCAAAGCATGCGAAGCTTTCTTTCTCTACCCCGCACCGCACTGAGCTGTTGGACGATCCCAGGATCCAGATTCCTCCGGGAACCTCCAAATTCCCCAAGCCCAAGAGAGCCCGAGAGTCGCCGAAAAGGCTGGTCATTGGTTCATGTGGAGTTGCCCTGCTGGTTTCTTCCAAGGCTGTCTGACCCATAGTTTTACCGTAGTTTCTGATAGTTTCGAACTTCGATTCTATAGAAGTTCAGAAGGGTTGGCAGTGGCCACCCGCTGTGGCCATCCGCTGTGTTCAAAACGAACCATCCAGATCGTGATGGTGTTGAAGATTTCTGACACGGCTCCAACTATAGTTACATCCGAAGGAAAGGATAGACGCACATAATGTGGACTTGATAAAGGCAATGTGGCAAAGCATTTGTCAGAGCTTGACCTGGACTCAGGGCTGCCGATGTCAACCCTAAAGCTGCAGTGTGATTGCCGAGTTATTAACAACATCCATTGCATTTTGCTTATTTTGACATTCGTCGGAACCAGCTTCGGGTGCCCACGCGAGACGAAAAAACAACTGCCAAAAAAGTACTCGGGGAGTCTAAGAGTCGCAGTCCGCTTGTAAAAAATGGGGCAAATGGGGTTTAGTGATGTTCATCATGTTTGTTTAGTGATGTTCATTTTTTTTTGAAAAAAACACCTTTGGATCCATTGCTTTTGTGATTGTCCGGATTGGCGGAGTTTCAACACCCAGTTCTTTACAAACGGGTCGTTGGGTTCCAAACTAGGATGTCCAGTTTGTGCCCGCGAAATCAAAGACTTCTATTGATTTGTAGGGGTTTTGTTTGCAATTCTTTCCAGTACAACATGTATAGGATAGTGTATAGGGCAACAGGTTCAGCCAGCGTTTTGAGAGTACACGAGACTTCGGTGGGCCCCGAACTGGCCCATCTGACTGGGTCTAAGAGTCGACTGCGAAGCTGGTGAGTCGACAGGGTTGCCCAGTCGCTTCGCGGTTTATGACCTACATGACAGGATGGATTTCAGTAGTGAATGTGCATGAATGTAGGTCAAAGAATGTTATCTGGAGCGTTTGAGATAAGTTCATTGAGAGCTTACAGGACATTCCCGAGACACGGATCATTGGGAGGATTGCTCGATGTGCAGACACATTCACCCAACACCAAGCGATGCCAAGCGTAAATGTGGCATGGCCAGAAGCCAGACGGGATCCCAAAAGGGATCCCGTGCGAGGCAGGCATGGAAAATCTCGCATGGAAAGCCATGCACCTGGTCAGCTCACACCGGTCACCTCACAAACCCAGTTTCTTTTTGAAGTTCCAACCTGCATCCGAGCCCAAGTTGAGCTCAGCACAGATCTTGTTGTCATCAAGAACCAAGAACCTACGACAGAGAATGGCTGGGTGCTTTTGTCGTGAAATGAAGGCACCGTAAAGACACACAGAGATGGGTACGTCTCCTATGCTGAGTTTCAGATTCGTAACTTGTATTTTGCGTATATTCCAGAGGTCAATATTGTTGGTGTGCCTGACTCAAGCCGGAGGACGAACCCCGCTTCAGATGTTGACATCCTGGATGCCTTAATTAAGCATCGAGATGTGGTTTATTGACATGATTTGACTCGAATCCTGGAATCCTGGAGTGCTCAGTTTCAAGATGTTTCAAGTGTCTCGAGCACCCTGGTCAGGCCAACAGGCCTTGAGAGACTGCCCGGGCGGTAGGGAATTGAGATGGGTGCAGTTGTGTGGTCAACAAACTGAAGACCGGAGACTTCTTCCAATTGTCAAGCTTGTTGAACGCATGTGGACTGACTGGTGCGACTCGCCAGGAATGAGGGAATGCATACAACAAGAATCACGCGTATTTCCGTAGAAAATTAATCCAGCGTATCAGGTAGTAGACTGCTAAGGTCCCATGCATAAGGAATCTACAGTGTGGATTCCATCGCTCCATTCCTGGCTTTCGTCGCACCGGTTCGCAGTCGGTGCCCGACTCTCAGAGTCAGACGCGGCGACCCCTCGGCGACCCGTTGGCGGTTCCAAAGCCGTGAGGGTCAACTCGAGCGGTCGAACGCGAACTGAGTGTCCTTTCTAAGCCGGGCAGTTGTAAGGGCAGTTGGATGATGGAATCACCGTGCACAGCGGAAGAGCGGACGCTTCTCGCCCACTCTCCAGGTGATGGATGTGGCTGGTTCAAGTGTGCACGCAGGTGACGACTCTTTTCTTGCTTATATATACCAGGCACATGAGTCAGGAGTTGGCTATCCCAGCCGACTATGTCACTAGACCCGTAAGTCCTAAGTCACTAGACCTCAGTATATACATATATATATAGCACATATTGCTGAATGGAGTGCACAGTAAGTTGTCACAAAGTCTTGTGTTCTTGCTTGGTTGTCAAAGTGGTGGAACGATGGCCCGTCTACTGAGATCATGCATCATCCACTGCAACCACGGTACAGGATTCAAACATTTCGGATCGGCTCCTTTGACCATCTTTGACCTGCCAAGTCACTTCCAAAGGTCTTTACGACCGAGATATCCCAACCCGGTTTGAATTTGTTTGCGTTTTTTCCCTCGCCCACAAAACCTATGACTCTCTTAGGGTCCTCCCCATCGAGTGCATCATTCCACATCAAGTCATCCGCTTGCCACACCTCAGGGCGTTCTTGCGTGTCACACTCTGCTACCAGCCGGCTGACAACGCGGGGTCGGCCGATGATCGACCCATGACCAGCTACTTGTTGGAAGGACACAGCACCCGTTGGTTGCTACGTAAATGTTCATGGAAAAACAAGTGAATCAAGTTTGAAGCACTACCTGTCAGTCATGAGGACAGTTGCGCTTTCTTTGGCTCGCGGCTGGAAAGAGATTTATGGCCTTTGAGCCTGTCAAACTTTTGGATGATCTTCTGAACGCGGGTGTGCGGGCATTAGAAGTGCTGGCCGCAAGTGTTTGTTCTTTGTCCCTTCCCCGGTCAGCTCCCAACGTCGCCCTTCAGGGTCAGTAATTACTTAATTTCTTGGTGGCCACACCTTTTTCCTTTCATCAGGGGTGCTCCTAGCAGGTACAGTGGTGCTACTGCTGGAAATGCTGATATGTGCTGATGGTGCTGATGCTGGTAATTAGTGCCGCTGCTGATTGTTCGGCCAAAAGAGATGGCCAGTGGCGGGCAAGCCAGAAATGTATAGAAATGTGCTGTTTTTGGGTTGGTATAAGAACACGGAATTCCTAAAGTGGGGCCAAGTTTGCGGGGATATGAGACGTTCACTGTTTTTCAGGTTTCGATCCTATGTGGTATGTGCTTTGCATAGTGATAAGTTGTATAATTGATTTCGAGGAGTCTCAATGCGGGTACATGCATCATCGGAGTTTTGGTCAACCACCGATTTTGAGTCGCAGAAGTTCGCATTTTGCGATGCTGAGCACCATATATTGCCCTGGCGGCCCGGTGTTTCTTCAGCAGCTGGGCAAACAGATCTTTTGCCTCAGATCACCTGAAACGTACTCATGTTTTTTTCCTCTCCGGTTTGCCCTTTTGCTGGCTTGTGCCCAAAAAACGATGAGAGGATGGGAAGGGCCTTTTGGGTGTTGGGTGAGCGGATGGCGGTGAGGCGGGGGAGGACAGGATGGTGGGTCCAGCCGGGACGGACAAGGACTGCACTTGTTGGAGGAGGCACGTTGCTTGAGCTGCTGACCTCGCCTGTTTCATATAAAACAAACTACATCATTATACATAGTTACTGTAGTAAGGTGTGGGATGGATTGGGCCTATTATGGTGACAGGTGGACACCACAATGTCTCTGGAAAAAAGACGTAACACACACACTATCATATACTAAATGTGTAGGATGTTATATGCACTTGTAATATGCCATGAAGAGAATAAAGAGATCCAACATGGATTCAACGATTCAATGTCACCATTCGAACATGATGTGTTCCAACTGCTCCGTGCTTGTTACTAGCAGTAAGGCCAGGAGCCCCTGGTAGTTTCTTGTTACTAGTAGTAAGAATGCTCCGTTCGTAGCGATGCCAGGAGCCCCGAGACCTCGCTCCGTGCGTAGCGTCCGAGACCTCGCTCCGCCAGGCACAGCAAGGTCTCAGCAGCTTCCCCCGCAGCATCTCCACGTCGGCCACCGCCGAGAGGTGGACGGGACCGGTCGCCCCGTGGTGTCGGCGGTCGGAAGTGGTTTCGATGGAAGATGGTCTGATGGTTTCTATCAGAGGTGCTGAGCTGCTCAGTGGTGTTGAAAGGTGCCTTGCATCAGGATTCGGGAGTCGGTTTTGCGGCAACCTCGAATCTCTCCTCACAGCGTCTATAGTCTATAGGCCCTATAGGCCCTTTGGGTGGTTCCTGAGATTCATCGCTTCCTCTCAACTGCTCCAGCCCTGAGTGGAAGACCAGGAGATCGTAATACAACCCTCAGGATCTCAACATTATAGTGGGAGTGACGACAATGTCTCAGTGATGCTGCTCTTCCGTTCATTGGTTCCTGCTCCAAGAACTTAGTCTTCTAAACTGGACACCCAATAATTCAACAGTGAAAATAGAACAAATAGATTGAGCAGCATGCACGTCAAGGAAAATCAATAAATAGGCTTTGGCTAGTGCTTTGGCTTGGCTGTGGCCCATGCTTGTCCATATTTCATCAAAGTCAATGCATGCAAATAGCTGTGTGAGTCTGAATTCCATCAGCAAGACTTTGTAAGGCCCATCCTGTAAGGAGTTGTAGATATCATTCTTCAGATGGAAGTAGCAATTGCGTTCTGAGAACTGGGGTGAAGGGCTGAGCTGGGGCAAGAGACCGGCTTCACCAATGGTCGGCTTGGAACCTACATGAGATGACCAAAACATGTGCGTGAAGTGGCACCTATTCTGCCAATTGAGGTTCATTTGCACCCATGATTGTCTCACACTGCAACCCCCACTTTGGTCGCGAAATCCGAACACATAGACAGGATGTTCACCTTGACTATAACTAGATCCATGCTGATTTGTTCTCCTCATTTTGTCTCACGAGTCTCACGTTCCCACGTTCCGAGCTCCCTGGCAGTTGGATGAGCTCACCGGCCAGCACCAGATCCACCTCCAGGCTCCACTGATGGGCGTGGCGTTGTCCGCCGCGCCCCGTTGAAACAACCACGTCATTCGGGGTGAGCCTGGTTCGATTTTTCGGCTTTTTTCTGGAGGAAATGGTCAGGGGCAGACTGATCCAAGCTGCAAGAAGGGCTTCACCCGTAACTTCTTTGTGTAGGAATGTTCTTTATTGGAAGGAAGGAAGAAAAGAAGGAGAGAAAGAGGGAAGCTTGCGCTGGCGAGTGTCCTCAACACTGCGCTGCCGCACCTGGCCTGTCCAAGGAGGTTCTGCAGTTGCACCGGACCAGGTTCCGCAGGAGGTTCCAGAGGAGGAACCGCGCAAGGTTCCTGAGCAGGTTGCGCAACAAGTTCGGAATTCTGTTGGTGCTGTGACCGTGGAAGCTTGAAACGGGTGCTGGTCGGTGCCGTGATTAGGAACAAGAAGCTACTAGGGGCTCCTGGCCTTACTACTAAGAGCAAGGGTGCTACTAGGGGCTCCTTGCATCGCTACTAGTAGCAAGAAGGCTACTAGGTTCTTGCAAGTTGCTACATCGAACATATGCGGTTGCCGAGGCTCCGTGCTGTTCCCCGCAGGTTGCCATGAAATGCTAAACCAGGTTGTTGTTGCCTCAGGTTCCACTAAACTGGGGTCACGACATCTTGCAACTGCAGTCGAGCAACCTTCCACCTTAGGCCAAGAAGAGGCAGCGTATGAGCGCAGAAAGGATATTGACACAATTTATCAAGTTGTGAATTTTGAATCGATGTCAATCGTCTCAGGAGCAAGATAGAAAGTAATAGGTGTGTTGCAAACTGATGCAGCAACACGGCACTGTCAAAGTCGAAACTGAAGGTCGCACGAGCTGTGCCTGCTTTGCATTGCAAAAAGCATACGCATACTGGCTGCACTAGCTAAATTAATCAGGGGTCACCCTGAGGTACCCAATTAATTTGTTTCAAGTAATTTTCCAAATCTGCACCAAAATAGAAAATCAAGGATGATCATCCAGAGTTGGATGACGATGATAATCCAGGAAGTTCATTGAATGCAAGCTGACCTACATGCAAGCCAGGAGAACCCACCCCGGAATATATGTTTTCCTAATTAATTTGGGGGGGGTCTGAAACTGAGTGAGGAGTGGATGCACATGTACATTCACCCTGGATTAATTATGGGGGTGCCTTAGTTAAATATTCTGGTGTATACTACCCATACCTGTTGGAATATTAAAATTGAATATATAGTAATTGAATATGTTTTCAATATGTTGGTTTTCTGCAGGTATGCGGTATGTGATGCCCCTCGGTTCGCTGCTGCTCTGGAATATTTATGAATATTTTTTCATTTTGTGAGATCTCTGACAGACACCACCCCCTCAATTAATAAATGACCATGTACCTGGGGGACCCCCCAATTAATTTTTACAACATATATTCATAAAAATCAATTGGACCCTAAGGATGGTGCCAATCGATATTCCCAATATATGTGGTGAGGTATCTGATTGCTGTAGTAATTTCTTATTTCATTGAGGGGGGGTGGGGGGGCCCTCTCCCTTAGTCATGAGAATATCAAAAAGCTCTACAGTCTACAGACTATGCGCCACAGTTACTTGTTGCTGCTCCAGCTGCTGCCAACCCACGAACCCCAACCCCCAAAGTTGCCGCTTGCAATTTTTCAGGTTGGAGGTATAGCTACCTGTTTCATGCATGCAAGGTCCTTGATTTTCTACTTTGCAGGGGCGACTTCCCACACTCGCATGTTTTTGGCTTTGCTATCTACCCAATAGCCTTGAGGTAACGAGCAGCCTGACCAATGAGTGAGGCCACTAGCATTGAATGAGGATTCCTGAGAACTAGACAACGGGTGTAAATATTGGGAATGGGGAACACAGATGCAATTTCAACTGCTTTCCTGCTGAATGTGTACAAGTGTTATAAAAATCGTTCATTGGAGGGAGCCTGTTTCAAATGTTCAGTTTTTTAAAAGTCAGTCCCAAAGTCGAAGTCACTGTCAAACCAGACAGTTTCAGCGCAAGTCAAAAACAGTCAATTTGCACAGATCCGACATGTTCTTTACTTTTGTTCTCTCTAATGTTGACTTTTTTCCTTGTTTGACTTTTGTTCGACTTTTGTTGACTGTTATGACTTGTTGAGTGGTCGACTTGTTTTGACTTTTTGAAGTGTTTTTTCTTTTAACATGCTCGAGTTGTTTTAATAAATGTTGACTTTTCTTTTGACTGTTTTTTGGATTTGTGTTTTGACTCTTTTTCCGACTTGTGTTCTTTTTTTTGATTGTTTGTTGACTTTTCCATTTGATTTATATTGTTTAAAACAGACAAAGCCTTTGGCCTTAATACCAAATGATTTTTTTCAAATACAAGTGCCGCTTCATTCAGGCTCAGTCACGCCAACTATCCTTAGCCCCAACAAATCCCACACAAAAATCTCGAAATGCAAACAAGAAACTTTGAATTTACGTAGTATATATATATAGTAATGTTTCACCCTTTAGTAGAGCCCTTTAGTTTTCTCCAAACTTTTGTCCCATGACATGATCCAATCAACAGTTCACAGAAAGGAACATCAACAAGGCACGTGGAGGATAAGGACGTTCATTCAAAGACGTCTGAAAAAAGAAAAACAACAGAATCTAAGTGTTCCTCGGGCTTCACACGGAAGACTCGTGATTTGCCCTTCCTCGAATCACTGAAAACCTGCGCCGCAGCGCCTTGCGACTTCGCCAGGGACTCCTTGGCCGCAGCTTTGCGCCAGCGCGGGGGGAGGCGGGGTACAGCTTTGGTTTGCCGGTGACCTTCCGCAAGCACGAGGAGAGCGACGAGACCGGATAGAGAGATCGCAACGGACAGGACTTAGAGAAAGCATGTTGTAAGGCACAAATTTGTGTCTGGTTTGCTCAGGTAGGTGGTGGGCCTTGGGTTTCCAAGCTGTTGTGCAACTGTTGGGCGTTCTTGGCGGTTTGATTTGTGCTGTTCTCCTTTTCGTTCGTTTCCTACGAAAAAGAGTTGCAGGCACCTCAGTGAACCCTTCTGTGTTTTCAGCACATGCGGTCTTCCACACACGGGCACCAGTATCTGATTCGGTTGATGTTGATATAGCTTGTAAAAGATGTAATTAAAATTGATTCGCCGTCGGATTCGGTTGCCGTCCTGCAGATGTGATTAACTGTGAGCGTGTGTAAATAGCGGTCAGCCACCCATTCGTTTGCGCTGCGCAGTCTAGCTGAGATGCTGGTTTGGAAGTACAAGAACAGCTATTCATCCTCAAGAGCAGCTATATAAACTGAAAGGAAATTGTTTGTCCAAACCCTGAAGATTGCCCGGAAGACCCTGGACCCGCTCAACTATTCAACTGAATAGTCGATTGACCCCTGACCCCAGATTCTGGAACTACCCTGCTGAACATTTGAGCTACTGTCCACGCTCCCCGTGATGGCACGCATTTGTCAAACATGGTGGAGAGATGCTGCTTACTTTAGAGTCTTGGTCAAAAATATCATGTGGCGCAAGACGATTTCCAACATGAGATGTTGCGAAAGCAAGTGCGACGCACGAAGCTCTACGGTTTGAGCGCCGTAGAAGAGGTTTTCGGCTGGCCGAACTGTTGACAAGATGTTGAACACCTGAGTGCCGGTGAATTTGTATTTGCATGGTCATCATATTTTGCATCCTGTTGGTCTCACTGACTCGCAGACTCGCAGTCCGACAGAGACCATCTCAGGAAAGCTGGAGCATCGCAGGCCAACTGATCATTACTGTATTTGTTTACGGACTCATGGCCCATGGCTCTTTGTTGGATAGTTCTGAGCCCAGGTTGGTGATGGATCACAATACTGCAACCGATCAATTAGGCTAGTCAACAGTAGACTGCGCACACCGACATAGTGGCTCCCCGTTCGGAGTCCCCCCTTGAAGCAACAATGGCACCTTTCGTGATGGTGGAACCCGGGCAACTAGGCCCTGATATCATGGCTGCGGTCAGACATGAAACTGTTTTGAAACGCAGAGCCGCTGTGAAAGCGAGTTTTATCAAAGGCAGAGCTGCTGTTGTCCATCACGTTTCAGGTTGTGAAATCGAGCCTGAAGTCCTGCAGGCTTACAGCCACTTGGCAGGAGCCTGCTTGGATGATCCCTCAAGTAATCAAGCACCGAGCCAGACCTGCCAGTCAGTAATCTTTGAACTGTATAGAATGAGTTCATCACTTCATCATGAATGTGTTGCCCAATCATGGAAAACACGTGTTCCCACAGCCTACACCTTTTTGAGCCACCGAAGGCACCGCCGCCGATCGTCCAAGGCGATGCGTTTCAGGAGCTGAAGCCAAGGACGACCGGCGTGGTGTGTCGCACGCGCACGGCTGCGGTGTGTCGAGCGACCAGTGGTGGGAAATGTATCGGGTGGATCCTTCACCAGTCTGCAAAGTACTTGGGGAGTTCATTGCCAGAGCCGGGGCACAGGTGCAGAATTAAAGCAGTTTGGAAGCCCTGAGGCATAATTAGAGATTCCTATGAATTCTTTTGTGCTGTGATTGTCTCGGGTCACACCTGGTCAGCCTGGTCACGGGCAGATCAGGTTGAATGGAAGGAGGAACAACTTGGAGAGGACATTCTTGCAGAATAGATTCAGAATATCTCCCAATATACACTGAAAAGTGTTGACTGCGTTTGTTTCAGAAGGATTTAATGTTATATAATTACTTGGCCATGGAGAAGAATATTGCACTTGTTACGGGTTCGCTGGTAGTTTGGGCACTGACGTTTCAAGAGATGCCGGCCTGGTTTGTCAACAGGCTCGGAGGTTGCAGGATTGAGAATGATGGTCAGAGTCATGGTTAGAATTCCATGTGAACCCCCAAAACCCAATGATACCCAATGCATACCCAATGCATACAAATGCTGAATGACTCTGACAGGTGAATCCTGCATGTGTCTAGCAAGCATGACAAGCCCATATTGCAAGATCACCGAGTTGGTTCTTTTTCCGCTGTTTGGAGAGCAGTTGGGAGCAACGGCGGGCATCGGTGTTTTTTTCTCGGAGCAGGCCAAGCAGTCTGCGCATCCTTGATGTTGGAGCTGGCATGGGTGGCTGGGCGGAACATATTGAGATCATCATCATCTTCTTCTTCATCATCATCATCATCGATAAGGCTTGCCATAGCATCAGGGTTTGGAGTTTGTGCTTTGACTCTAAGTAGTACCTTTGGTTGACCTGCTTTCTGTTCTAGTCACTGATGACTCACCAACTTCCAAAGATGAGAATGGAGTTGAGATCACTTTCAGGGCGGTTGTGACACCCACTACCGATGGTCATGTTCATGTTCGGTCACTTCTTCGTCAGCTGCATTGATCTCCCGTTTCGCAGACAATCCCAGACGACCACTGTAGTCACTGTACCATTCCGGTCCCGACCGAACACCTCCCCCGGGCCACGGGGCCTCCCACGGGGCCTCCCACGGTGTCGTCGTCATGGGCATGATCGACTTAAGGAAGAGATGTGCGCTACATTCAACGCGCTTTCGACGGGTGCCTGGCACAGGTGCCGCACCGGGTTCGGGCTGAGGTGGCGGGGGGGTTCGGGGGGAGATCCGATTCCAGAGTTGACCAATTGATGGTCATGAGATGTCATGAGATTGTACGGGCCTCAACTGAAGAGATTTGAAGATGCACTGTTGATGATTAGAAGGCCTCAATTCAAGTCCCATACTCCCGTAGGATTCAATCAATATTCTTGGCTTGGAGATCGTATGGGGCTTGTCCAAGGGGTCGTGGATCAGATAGACACTGATTCACCTCTTGACCAGATGGAAGTCCCTTCCTCGGATCCGTCAACAGCTGACAGGTGGTGGCGGTTGAGCCCAATGAGATTCTTGCACACACTTATATGTTAAGCCAAGTTATAAGCCCATGTTCATCCATTTTCGCACATTCCCCATTCACTGCTTCACTGTCTCAAGAGATCGCCGATGTGTTGCGCCACTTGGCCGCATCCAACTGAGGTTTGCCTGGCCTTCCCTTCGTCACGAGCTGCAGCGCTGGACGTCGCGCTCGGGCGTCCTTTGCCGCGCCATGGGCGACGCGGCGCCCCTGGGGCGTTTCGATGTGGCGGTGCTGCAGCACGTGCTGTGCTCGGCCGCCCAGCCGCGGGAATTGCTCCGGGAGGTGCGGAAGGTGCTGAAGCCAGGCAGGGCTGAAGCGAAGGGAAGAGACCTTGCATGTGCAAATGAGGGGTGGTGGGTGTTGCAGGGTTTTCAAGTGTTTTGACCAACTAATATGTTGAGTTGTGTTTGATTTGTCCGTCGCCACTTGGGCATGGTATGGCATGGTTATGCCTAAGTGGGCAACTTATTGGAAATGTATATAACATATGATCATCATATACTGGTGATGTGTATATTGTTCCTTTTGAGAATATTACATAGTATTTGATTGATTATTAATATTATCTATGTGGAATTGTTGATTTTGAGTTGTCGAGCAGCAGTGAGATGTGAGTATTTCTTGAATGCTGGCTTCGTTTTTGAGCTTTGATTGTTCTTCATGGCAAGAACCCTGTAGATCTTAGGGCCAACAAGCATGCCGAACTCTATTGCAGCAGATTCGAGTTGGCTCGAGCTCCTTCCAAAATCAGAAGGGGCAGCGGCCTTCACATGATGTCATTCACGGAGACATCTCAATTGCTACAGAAGGAGCTCATGGCCAACGACTACAGCTACCGCGTGCCTTGGACAGCGTTGGAGAGTTCCAGAGATCCAAAATGCTGACTGTGGTGTGAGAACATGTTTTGTAGGACAGTTCCTGAGATTCTTAGTGTTCTCATATGAGTTTTTTCATCAAACCTTTGATTGGCCCAGCTGGACGTTCTCAACAAGATCCTGGGAATGTGTCTAATGCTTTCATCATCTGCTTTGCAGAATAGTTTTCCCGTGGAATGTGAAACGCGCAAGACTGACAACAGGTCGATGGCATTCCTCCAAATGATTCGCAATATGCTTCTTGGCTGCAAGCTCTTTGTTGATGATCAGAGAGCTGGCCACTAAAGCCAGGCTCCAACATCATAGAACAGTGTAGCTCCCCTCCCTGGTTGTTCTTCAACCCTCTATGACCAACCATGGATGTCCAAATGCATCTCAATTCGTCCAGCTTGCCAAGTCCTCAAACACTGTCCCATGTCCCATGTCGCAGAAGTTTTGGGTGACATGAGGGGGGTGACATGTGGGGCGGGCGAATGGCCCTGTTTCCCTGAGACCTCAGGATCGACGTTAGGGCGGAAGGGCACCACGGATCTTTCGGTATGGCCACCCCGCGAAGGAACGAAGGATCACCCGTACGGTCGTTGGGCCGTACGGTTTGGGCAGTGCTGTGCACCGGCATAGATGCTTTAGCCCCGCTAGTACTCCCGAGCTCACCAGAAATGGCGGGTGCTTCCTGAGCAGTCGAGAAAGTTCACAGGGACAACATGCCCCGCTCAGGACTTCAATCATGTCCTTCAACACCCGCCTCCGAGTGCCTACATGTGCCTCAGCTGTGAGAGGAGGGGCGCCCATTCACTTAATATGGATCCGGGATGGTGTGAATTGCGCAGCTCTATGAGACAAAGCTGGAACATGTGGCTGGATGAGGTTGAGTTGCTGGAAGATCCTTTGTCTACTCTTAGCGGGGCTCCTCCAGTTCACAAGCCAGGAAGGTTTGGAGCAGAAAAGCTCAATTGTTGTGTTTTTTTCTGTGATTTTGGTGTTCCTTTGGCGGACTTCTTATGCTGATGTTTT